AAGTGGCTTTTGGCTATGTATATACTGATCCTTAGGAGGGGCATTATTGCACACAGTGTCCTCCTAACCAGAGTCAGGTAGCTCTGGTAGCAAGGTCCCAACAGTCCAAAGTCTAAAGCAGATACGTGCATACCATGACCATGTTGTTTAGGCAATGGCAATTCTAGGAACAAGGTAAAAAGGCAGTACAGAACTCAGGCTAATAAAGTCCTAACAAAAGGAAAATAAATGAAGTACAAGTTAGTTAGAGCCAAGGTAAGAAAGGCAGTACAGAGGTCAAAATAACTGAATCCCAACAGAAAGTAAATAAATGGAATAGAGGTGAGTTAGAGCCCAGGGGCAACCATTGAAGTCCAGATAGAGGTCACATTGCTGAAGTTCAAACAAATGTCAAATGAGGTGGCCAAACATGAAGATCAAAGATAGTTCATATTTAGGCACAGTGCAGAGAGAAATCATTCAGAGTAGGAGCCAAGGCATCTAGGAACAGTTTGTGAGCTTGAGATAACAGTTGTTGTTCCTATAGGAACTGAGTCCTCCATGGCTGAGATACGGCAGGCTGAGCTGTAGGCATTTGAGCATGAGGTCTTCCCAGGAAGATGACCCTTATCTCATAGAGACCAAATTCTGAGGAAGCTCCTACTCCTAAAGAGTTATCCCTTGCTAATCTGCACTTGATGTCTTGGGCTTGAAGGAGGTCCTGCCTCACTCTCTGACCCTAGAACTGGGCTTCCTCTCTCTTGAGGATTCACGTTCTTCTGAGGTGCTCTGTCCCTCTTTGCTATCCAGCTGGGGAGGCTCTAGATCAGGGGTAGGCAACCTAAGGCCCGGGGGCCGGATGCGCCACCCCCCCGAGGCCTTTGGACCGGCCCCAGGCCTGTCCCGCCGCCGCCGCTGCCCGCCATGATAATATTGATTATTGTTGTTATTACTTGTTCTTGGGGTTTTCTTGGCAAAATCTCCACAGGGGTTTTGCCATGGCTTTTCTGGGGCTGAGAGTGTGTGCATGCATATTTTTTATTTTTTTAATTTTTTTAAATTTTTATATTTATTTATTTATTTATTTATGGTGTTTCGGCCCCCCAATTGTCTGAGGGACAGCAACCCGGCCCCCGGCTCAAAAAGATTGCCTACCCCTGCTCTAGATCATTTTCCAAAGACAATCCCTCTATCAAGGGTATGTATTAATTATCAAAGCTGAGAGGGAGCCAGTGCAAATATTGGGCTGTTGCCCTTCCAAAACCTCACTGCTATCAAGAAGCCATGCTGGCTGGAGGATTCTGTGAGTTGTAGTCCAAATAAATAACTTTACTAAGACTTTAGTCCCCTGTATTCTGGGAAAACTAGAAATCAGGGATCATTTGAAAAAGAATCATGGAAGTCAATATAATTTAGAGGCAAAAAAAAGGCATAAATGACTTTTCTTTTTCTTAGAATTATGAGACAAGCAGGTCCTTGAAGGACTGGAGTTAATAGCAAGCAAGGAGAGCTGTGAAGTTACAGTCAGTAGGCAGTCAGCCAGAGGTCTGAATCAAAGACTGAACTGTAGTACATGCCAGGAGATTGGAATCTGAGTAAAAGTGATATGCCAAACAATTACCCAAGCAGTCTGAGTTCAAACAGGAAGGTCAAGGCTAGTAAAAATTTGTCTGTGGGATGTCAGTCCAAGAAGTAAAGGACAGGAGAAGGGACTTGGTGTGCTTGTTCATAACGGCAGTACCAGAGCTATTGAGCTATTGGTACCAGACATAATATTCAGTATTCTGCAACTTTGGGCTGTCATTTATTTATAGAAGTAAGACACTCTTCTAGCAATTAGGATTGTGGCTATAGGCTTAAATTCAATTGCTGGTTCCCAACAGAATAGACACATTGAATCAATAGGATTTACATAGGTTGTGACTTAACATTCAGCAGTCCCTAGGTAGACAGCAATTGGATGTAAGCCAGAGGTTTGAAAATGAATAAACAATACACAGAGGAATAGAAGAAAAAATCCAGCGAAACTTCAGTACTGTGCAATACTTGGTACCATCCCACCCCATAACTAACAGCAATATAAATTAACTGTGAAACTAAGTCAGTTCTAGAGATGATTTTCCCAATAATTTGATTAATTTTCTTGATTTATATCCGTTCAGGGAAGAGTCTAATTCAAAGCCTTCTTACCATAGTTTCTGATGCATTGCTCTGCCAGCTTTTGTTTCAAATGTAATTGCTGAAATTTGGTCACACATCTATAGATACTGTGCTTTGTCCTCTGTATTTTTATATATGGAAAATGCAGAAGTTATTGGCTGTTTGGAGGTGATGTGGTCCTTTTACTGGTCAGACTTGTTTTTCCTCTTAAGTATATTGCAGCTATTTATTCACGTGGTTAATTATGTAGAGCTATTTTGTGGCAATTTCACTCCTGTCTCTTATGATCATCTTATAAATAGACATGGAAGGGAGCAATCTTGGACACGCTGTAACCAAATGATTCCCCCTCTCCCCCAACAAAACTGGTCAAAAGGAATATCAGGGAATAGAGATTCAGCCTGTGTTGGATGGGGTTTCATTCCCCCTGAGATCTCAGGTTTGTAGCCTGGATATGCTCTTGGACTCAGATCTGCACCTGGAGAGTCAGGTACTCAGGTACTGGCAGTAGCCAGGAGTGTGTGTGCACAGTTAAAACTAGTGTGCCAGTTGTGCCAATTCCTTGAGATGTCAGATCTGGTCACAGTGACACATGGCTTGAATACATCCTATTTGTATTCTTTTGTTTGTTGTTCTGTGGCTTCAATTTGTTTCCAACTTATGGCAACCCTAAGACAAACCTGGCAGGGTTTTTTCAGAGGAGGTTTGCCATTGCCTTCCTCTTAAACTGAGAGTGTGTGACCTGCCTAAGGTCACCCAGTGGGTTTCACGGCCAAGCGAGAATCAAAGCCTAGTCTCCATAGTCAAAGGACATTTTCACATGGGGCCTGAAGCAGAAACAATCCCCGCCCCATCCAGTGCCATCCCCGCCGCATTGCGGCATCATTCTGGATCCTTTTTTCGTTTGTTCACACGACGTCGCAGCAAACCCTGCCCCATCCAGTGCCATCCCCGGCGCACTGCAGCATCATCCCCGTTCTTTTCAATTCCTCTTTCAAAGAGGAATTGCATCTGCTGCGACCAGAATCAATCAAGAATCATACCAGAATGATGCTGCTTCCTTTGTGTGAAGCTACAGGGTCCATTCCGGTATGGTTCTGGATTGATTCCATGCCGCTTTGAGACCCCATGTGTGAAAACGTCCATAGTTCCAACCTCAAACCACTACACCACTCTGGCTGCCCTTGGATTACTCTAATGCACTCTATATGGGGTTGTCTTTGGAAAGTGTTTATAAATCTCAGTGGGTCCAAAATACTTCATCCAGACTGCTGACCAGGACTTAGTTACACAGAATATATAGCCTCCTATGTTGAAACAGCTTCACTGCTTCCAGGCATAATTAAGAATGGTAGTTATGGCCTGCTAGGACCTGTATGGAGTGGGTCCAGATTATTTTAAAAAATGTATCTCCTAATATGAGCCTGCCAGAGTTTTATGATCTTCAGGAGAGGGCTTTCTCTTGGTCCCACCACCATCACAGACATGGGTTAGGGTAAGAGAGAGAGCCTTCTCAGTGGCTGCTCCCAGACTGTGAAATTTCCTACCACAAGAAGCCAGGTCCCCTTTCTCCTTTCTTTCTGCTGGCAGGTGAAGACCTTTGGCTCCACTCAGGCTTTTGAGTACAATTGGCCCTCCGTTTTCTCGAGGGATCCATTCTGGACCACCACCACCCTGTGAAAACAGAGACTTGTCAATATTCAAGCCCTATGGGCTTGAATGGGGCACGCTCCTGCGCGCCGCAGGTGTGGGCCCCATTGATTTGAACAGAGGTCACCCCTCCATGAATAAGCAAAACTGCGGACTTCAAGTCTGCAAGAAGGAAGGGGTGACTGTATTTACTATCTTGATTCAGACGTTCTTTTAATAGGAATGTGTTGCAATTTTATCATTTTAATGACCTTTTAAAACTGTTTTAAATTCATGTTTTTTGATATGATGGTTTAATTGTTTTTATTGTTTGTTTTATCCATTGTTTTAGTTGTACTGTATATATTCATGTATAAGTCTAGAAATTTTAGTCATAAAATGGACCTAAAAAACCTGAGTCGACATATGCTCTTATGTTTTTGCAAGGTAAGTACAATTGCCCCTCCGTTCTCGCAGACTTGAAGTCCGCAGTTTTGCATATGTACAGAGGGGTGACCTCAGTTAAAATCAAGGGGGCATGCCCCAATGGGGGGCACCCCATTTAAGCCTATGGGGCTTGAATATTGGTGAATCTTCATTTTCGCCAGGGGTGTCTGGAACGGATCCCCTGCGAAAATGGAGGGCTAACTGTACTGTATTTTAACTTCTTAAAAAATTAACAATCCTCTGGTTCAAGAGCGTAATCTGTCCTGGAAGCGTTGATCCCCCCCCCCCTTCATCCATCCAGCCTTTAGTGTGAGCACAAACAGTTATCCATACTGGAATTTTGTTACTTCTTTGGCATTATTTCCCTTTGCTGCTGCTTCCTTTAAATCCTTTGTTATATGCCCGTAAATTTTACACTCAGCTTATCCATGGGTCATATAAAAATCCATAATTTTGGCCCCAAAATCTGTCCTCAACTTATACAGGAGGCCAATTTATAGTTGAGTATATATAGTATTTTGTTCTAACTCATATTGGTAGTAAAGGACATGCATTCAATAATGATCAATCTCCTTCTTTTCTTCCTCCTGTCATCAGTCACTTGGAGTTTTGGATCTACTTTGCCTTTCCAGGTGTCTTCCTCTCCTTGACTGCTTTGGGAGCAAAAGGAAGAACTCCTGATTTTTAACTTGGAAAGGTGTTCCTTCTTTCCTTTTTCAGAATCAACCTTTTATTTTCCCATCTCCACCTCCACCAAAAAGCAGCTTCTAATCTTCCCTGTTGGAGCCAGCATGGTGTAGTGGTTTGAGCTAAGACTATGACTCTGGAGATCAGGGTTCAATTCCTTGCTTGGCCATGGAAATAACCTTAATAATAATAAAACACACTCAGCCACAGAAAACCCCAGGATAAGTTTACCTTAGGGTTGCCATAAGTCAGAAACGACTTGAATACAAACAACAACAACAACAACAATCTCTTCTCCAAACCAACAAGAAAGCCAATGTTGCTTCCTGCCAGGATACCCCAACTGTCATGTATCAAGTCTGCATCTTCTTTTCCCTTCCATCAGCTTCCTAATACTGTAACTTTTTTTTTAATGAGAAAAATGAAAGAATAGGAATAATCTGGAAGGCTTGATCTAGATATTCTCATGTTTATCTCCTTCAATATTCTAGATATTCTCATGTAGATCTAGAATCAGGGGTAGGCAACCTTTCCCCTTTAAAGGCCGAGGGACATCAGCTCCCAGAAGCCTCAGCCATGTTGGCATATAGTACCATGTTGGCCAATAGCTCCTTAAAGGCGAAAGGTTGCCTACTCTGATCTAGATATTATAATATTTATCTCCTTCAAAGAGTTAAGAGGGCAGGGATGGGAGAAAGACTCATACACAATGAAATTCTTTTCTTGTTGCAGGGAGAAAATCAGCCCAAGGCAAAGTTGTTCAGTTCAATCCCTGCTTTTAAAAGAAACCTTTGCAAGCCTGGAAAGATCAGCTTGTTTTCCCCCTTGGTTCTTATGCCTTTCTTAGCTTTGCCACAAGCAGAAATTCAGGATGTGAAGTTTTTCACCTCAGTATTGAGAACAGCCTCCTCTGTTGCACTTCTTTTCCTTTTAAAGGCATTTGAAGGAGAGCCCCTGCAAAAAAATTGCTTGGTTACTCTGCAAGGATATTTGTTTGCTTAGGGCTGATGGCTATTTTTCAAAATTGCTATTGCGCTTTTCACAGCAGACTGTCCACCCCCCAGTTGTAATGTCTGTTTCTCAGTTTTGGCAGTGTTGCAACACGTGGAGTCTTTGTTGCAAATCATTGGTATAGGTTTGGAGGGGGTTCCAATTTTCAGGATTCATAGTTAACATAGCTAAATATAGAGAACTACAGCAGATGAAACTTTGCCCAGCATGAATTAAGTGACGGAATAAACTTGAGTCACTAAACAGAAATACCATGGGCCCTCAGTATCCGCTAGGGTTTGGTTCCAGGACCCTCATGGATACCAAAATCCATGGATACTCAAGTCCAATTAAATACAATGGGTAGTAAAATGGTGTCCCTTATATAAAATGGCAAAATCAAGGTATGCTTTTGGGAATGTATGTATTTTTTTAATATTGTCAAGCCTTGGATGGTTGAATACATGGATAAAGAATCCATGGATATGGAGAACCAACTGTGTATCTGTTTGCCATGTTGCCTCTGTTTCCCTTTCCTTTTTTTTGTCCTCCTTTCTAATCAAACATCTAGAATTACTTAATTTTTTAAAATTGTACTCTGCCATTCCAATGCATGGTCAGGACAGATTACAATAAACCATTTTAAAAAGATAAAGGTTTTTCCTTGACATGCATATCTAGTCGTAAGTGACCATAGGGGCGGTGCTCATTTCCATTAGTAAGCCAAAGAGCCAGTGCTGTCTGAAGACATCTCTGGTGGTTTAAAACAACTAAGGACAAGAGAGCAAATCTTTAAAATCAGGATATAAATACTGTCAATATAATCCAAGCAAAACAGATTCTACAAAAATATTTAAAGCCTGAGAAAGTACAAAAGTAGGTTTTTGTGGGTTTTTCGGGCTGTGTGGCCATGTTCTTGAAGAGTTTTTCTGACGTTTTCGCTAAAGATGCCAGCCACAGATGCTGGCGAAACGTCAGAAAGAAACTCTTCTAAAACATGGCCACACAGCCCGAAAAACCCACAAAAACCTATGGATGCCGGCCATGAAACCTACAAGTACAAAAGTATTTGTCTGGTCCTAGAAAGACATCAGAGTGGCTGCCACACAAGGCTTTCTGGGGAGATTATTCCAAAGCTGAGGTGCCACCAGTGAAAAGGTCTACTGAAAGTAGCTGCTCACTACAAGGGCCTTCCAGTCCAACCCCCTGCCATGCATTAACTCACAATCAAAGCACCCCCGACAGATGATCATCCAGCCTCTGTTTAAAAACCTCTGAATAAGGAAACTCCACCACCCTCCGAGGGAGTGTGTTCCACTGTTGAACAGCTCTTACTGTCAAGAAGTTCCTCCTAATGTTGAGGTGGAATCTCTTTTCCTCTAGTTAGGACCTATAGCAATGGTTTTTAAACAGAGGCTGGATGACCATCTGTTGAGGGTGCTTTGATATGTGTTCCTGCATGGTAGGGGGTTGGACTGGGTGGCTCTTGTGGTCTCTTCCAACTCTATGATTCTATATCTCAGAAGGCAGGAGAAGCCAGCATAGGCCCTTTTTGTTGGATCTCAAATATGAGTAAGCACGTATCGGGGCAGTTCATGGATCCATTGTCATAGCTGCTCCTTGTTGAACGGGTAGAGAGTATGGGGATAGTGGCAGTGAAATTCAGAGTAGGTTTGCCATGCCTCCCCGTGGCAATTGATTCCCCAGCACATGCTGTGAAGGGTGATTTGTCAAGCTGTTCAAGCAAATATGGCAAGAGTGGATAAAACAGTCAGAGGGAAAAGGGGCTGCTACATCTCTCACTAAACAGAAGAGGTCCAAGGACTATTATCATATTCTGAATTGCAGCTTAGCAACTCTGTTAAAGAAGCTGCTTCTAGTAAGTGCTGCAGAGTTGGAACTGTAAGACTGAAAATCTGTGAAAAGATGACTAAAGAGAAACTAGAGCATAGGTAACTGATATCTAGGGTTGTGAACCTTACAGTTTGATGTGGCTGGCAAAAAGCCATTGATAACTAAATAGAATCCTTCAGCCACAACTTGTTCTGTCAGATTCATCACATCAAATTTCTGTATACTTTGCTTACACTTCAGTATGAAAGACACCCTCCTGAATGTCAACACTTGCACAAAAAGGGGGGAAATTGTGGCTTTGATTATGGATTAAATAAATGTAAATATAGTCTGGTAACATGGTAGAGCGATCTGTGCACCAACCCTTCTGGAAAGACACTTTGGTTTCTTCAGACCAAACACATGTGGTGTGAGTGGTCAACACAAGCACAATCAAACAATCTTAGTGAAACTGAACAACAGTACTGTATAAGTAGTAAAGCATGGGGGAACTATTGTACATCACAGCCACACAATTTAAGCTAACTTGCATCTGTATAGCAGATCTTTGCTGTCTTCTTTGAATATTATTCCTCCATGTTAAATCATTATTTGACTCATGGTGTACCAGCAGGATACAGGAGAAGGCAACTGAAGGCAGTTGCAGTCCAGCCATATCTGGAAGGCCACAGGTTGTCCATCTCAAACATAAGACAATATACTTTTCAAAATTACCTCCTAGACTGCAGGCACTAAATAGTTTGGCAGAAATTGGTGCACTGTGGACCATACTCTTGTCTCCTACTCTTGGGCAGTATAGTGCTTTGTACACAGCAAGCTTTCCCATTTCTTGACACGTGTCTCTCATTGGTATTACTCAGACTATTTATTAGCCACCCCTCCACACGCCTGTATCTTGTATCAAGGAATACGTTTTCAGCTGCAGTACAAAGATGCATACCATCACCATTAACTCTGCCCTGACTGTCGTTAATTGACCACAAGTCAGCTTCAATTTCGGGCAACCCCATGAACAAGAGACTTCCAGGTCACCTTGTTATCAACAGCCCTGCTCAGGTCTTGCAAACTCTGCCTTGATGTCTCATGATATTTTTATACTGCCTCTATCCTATTTCTACTTGGCAGCCTTGTTCTAATCTCCATTGCTCTGTTTAATGCTTGTGCCAGTCCCCAACTGTTGCTTTATATTCAGTGATTTCCAATTGTACATGCTGATTTTCAGACCTGCCTATTGCTGGCAACTTTTGGTTTTCTGAAAGTACCTTTATTAGGATGTTGTTCAAACTTGACATTTGCTAATCCCTATTTTGCACCAGGGGATCCTGCAGGCTGAAACAATGTCATCTCTTACCTCTATAATCTTACCTTTCCCCCTTCTGGCCTTAATTCTTTGCCTTTGACAGATGCTTAGTAGGTAATACTTTTCAAACCACAAAGTTAAGTGATGGAGAAAAGCATCCACCAACTGAATTTTCTCTGCAGCCAAATGTTGTTAAAGGTGTAAACAGAGCCAATAAAAAAAGAGGAGGAGGAGGATGCAACATAAATACAGTTGACTTAATTTTTTCACATTTGATTATTCATTGATTTATATGATATGTTCTCTGTAGGAATCTCTGTGTCCTCCAGCATGACTTTGCTGGAAGTTGACCATAGATTCATACTGGAGGACCTAGAGATGCCTAGAGAAAACACTTCTCTAGGCATTTTAGGACCTCCAGCATGATTCTGAGGTCAAGTTCTGGCTGATGTTGACCACAGAGTCATGCTGGAGAACCTAGAGATTCCTAGAGAGGTGTTCTCTCAGGCAAAAACAAACATGTCCTTTTATTATTTGTGGTTTTCCCATTTTCACAGGGGTCCTGTGCCCTTAACCCCAGCAAGGGCCCACTGTACAATATTCTGTCTTGCCCCAAAGATGCTACACAGCAGGATAAGACACACTGAGATTGTTTGACAACGCTAGTGTGGTAGGGAAACTGGATTCTCTATTGTATTTGTTCTTCTAAGAGCCGTCTTTACATCTGAGAGGTACCACCAAAAGAAAACAAAAGTTTTGAAAAGATAGTTTAGCCATAGGAAATTCAGAGTTGATTGCAAGATGGGTCACTTGCCTCAGTCTGTGCACTGTATTTATCACCTCTTGCACTGGCTCAATAATTCTTCCTATTTTCTGGAGCCTGACTGCATAAGATTGCTGGCAAGTCTGACAGTGGCGGAGCTACTATGATTTATGGGCTGTGTTAATCCATTAGCTCCTTTGTTTCACAATAATATGATTTAGCTCCACCGTGCTTAGGTGTGGTTTCAATCTGAGCCTTGCT